GGCCTGAGGGCCGGGCTGAATTTGCTACCCCGGTACAGGTGACAGTGGGGCGCATCAAAGGGTTTGAGGGAGACAGGGAGAGGTCAGCTGAGTGTATTGGATAGCTCCCTCTGGCCTCAGTGGGATCTCAGGGCTCAGGTCTGAAGAGGGTGACCGTTTTTGTAAAGTGGCTGAGCAGCAGTGTGGGTGATGGATGGTGAAGGCCTGGAAATAGGGCAGTGTTCACAAGGGTACAAAAGAAAGACCTGCTTTGAGATGCAGAGTTTGCAGTCAAAATGAGCAGACTTTGGTGATGGATGTGCAGGGTATAGAGTGAGAAAAGGATGTCCCAGTCTGGGTTTAGTGCAGTCTTCAGGTGACCAACTCAGCAGGGTCCTCAGCACTCACTGAGCAGCAAAGAGTGCATCCTAAGGCATATTTAGGTCTGGGACCATTTATGGGGTCTTCCTATAAATGAGAGTCATGTAGCAACTAATGCCTCGCCCAGTCAGATGACAGCTGCCCTGGTTGTCATTTAGTTAGGGGTAGTTTTGTTTGCTGTTGAACGGAGAGTCCCATTCTCAGTGTTATTCTATAACAATGATGCCCCTGTGGGCTGTAAGAATTACCGAATCATACTGACATTTGGTCCTCTCTGATCATACCAAGCAAAGAACTAAACACTCTCTTTTAAAGTATGTAATTGTAGAACTTAAACTATGCTTCCCATATTAGAAGAAATTCAAGTGGTAGAATCTAGAGCATTGATTAGAGTGGAACTCCCCCTTTCTTTGTTTATTCATATTTTTTTCCCTCAAATCTCAGCAGTTTTTGCCTTCTCAGCAAACAGTGAAGACCTTGTAATCCCAATTGTTAGTAAATGTTGCATTTCCATAAAATTGCATAAATCATCAATGCAGGATTTCTGCTATGTGGTTATTAATGCACCATGAGTTAATTTATGTTATAATTTAGTATACTACTTAGGTAAAGACTACACACTGGGTTCAGTGTATACTGCTCGGGTGATAGGTGCACCAAAATCTCACAAATCACCACTAAAGAACTTGCTTATGTAACCAAAGACCACCTGCTCCCCAAAAACCTATGAAAAAAAAAGGGACCACCATTTTATCCAGCAGTCCCACTAGTGGTATCTACCCAGAACAAAAAAAGTTATTATGTGAAAAAAGATGCTTGCACATGCATGTTTATAGCAGCACAGTTTGCAATTGCAAAAAATATGGAACCAGCCCAAATGCCCATCAGTCAATGAGTGGATAAAGAAAATGTGGTATATATATACTGCAGAATACTAATCAGCCATAAAAGGAGTGAAATAATTACATTTGCAGCAACCTGGATGGAATTGGAGACCATTATTCTAAGTGAAGTAACTCAGGAATGGAAAACCAAACATCGTATGTTCCCACTCATGAGTGGGAGCTAAGTTATGAGGATGCAAAGGCATGAAAATGATACAGTGGACTTTGGGGACTCAGGGAAAAGGGTGGAAGAGGGTGAGGGATAAAAGACTACACACTGGGTACAGTGTACACTACTTGGGTGATGGGTGCACCAAAATCTCAGAAATCATCACTAAAGAACTTACTCATGTAACCAAACACCACCTGTTCCCCTAAAACCTATGGAAATAAATAAAAATTTAAAATTTAAAAAAGGAATAGTATACTACTTGGGGACACAGAGGACCAAATTAAATAAGAAAATGTGTGTGGGGGAACCGGGTGCGCTGGCTCACACCTGTAATCTTAGCATTTGGGGAGACCAAGGCAGGTAGATCACGAGGTCAAGAGATTGAGACTATCCTAGCCAACATGGTGAAACCCCATCTCTACTAAAAATACAAAAATTAGGTGGGTGTGCTGGCGGACGCTTGTGGTCCCAGCTATTCAGGTGGCTGAGGCAGGAGAATAGCTTGAACCTGGGAGGCAAAGGTTGCAGTAAGCCAAGATCGCGCCACTGCACTCCAGCCTAGGGACAGGGCGAAACTCTGTCTCAAAAAAAAAAAAAAGAAAAGAAAAGAAAGAAGAAAATGTGTGTGTGTGTGTCGTGCACATCCCAACTGGATTGGGGAGAATTACTAAATGTATTCTGTAATATCATATCCTTGATTTTCATGATGCTGACTTGTGCCTTTTTGGGTACTAGTTTTCTCCTATAGTATAAAGTAGCCAAGGTTGGTTTCTGTAGCATTTATTTGTTCTTTCTAAAACATTTTAAGAGATTTATTTGGTACACACCCGTAACTCAAAGCTCCTCAAAGGCAGGAAGATGCTTTGGCTAGGTCTGGGATTCTTTAGCTCTTGTCTATGGTTATCTACACAAGAAATGTATTAAATCAGCATGTGGAAAAAATGGGTGAAAAATGACTGACTGAAATTTGCAGTATTGAAGTACGAATTTGCTTTAGTATCATGAGACAGCTAGTTGGCAAGTTACCAAGGTGGAGATTCTCAAACCAAAAGAAGTTCTTCTCAATGTGGTTGCCCCAGTGTAGGATAGAACTCTGGATATAAAGGTATCAATACTCAGGCCAGGTGTGGTGGCTCACGTCTGTAATCCCAGCACTTTGGGAGCCCGAGGCAGGTGGATCACCTGACGTCAGGAGTTCAAGAGCAGCCTCGCCAACATGGTGAAACCCTGTCTCTACTAAAAGTACAAAAAATTAGTGGGGCATGGTGGTGGGTGCCTGTAATCCCAGCTACTTGGGAGGCTGAGGCAGGAGAATTGCTTGAACCCGGGAGGCAGAGGTTACAGTGAGCTGAGATCACGCCATTGCACTCCAGCCTTGGTGATGAGTGAAACGCCATCTAAACAAACAAACAAAAAAAGGTATGAATACTCTCTGAGAGGGCTGTCTCACCTGTCCCTTTTGTTTTTTATATTTCTTCTTTCTAACTCTCCTCTCTGAACCCCAAATCTGGTATCCACAAGCACCGTGTTGGAAAGTTTACAATCATCATGATTGGAATGACGCAATTGCAGTAGCTTGTGTCGGTGCTTACTCCGCCAGGCATTACACTAAATGTTTCTACCTATATGTTGAGCTATGCGTGTTTATCATTCCCAGTTTGCAAATGGGAAAACTGAGGCCTAGAGACAATAAATAAACTGCCTAAGGCTACATGGTTGACACACAGTGGAGCTGAGATTCAAACCTCCGGTGAGAATTGCAGAACTCCAGAGTGTGTGCCGCTGGGCAATACCTGCAAGGATGACTCAGCCCTCCTTCCTCATCCTCGCTCTCAGGCTGCTCTGTACCCAGCCAGCCTGCAGCCAGCTCATTGATGAGCACTCCACTGAGCCCCACTCTGGAAAGTGCTATGAACACGAGCCTCCTTGGCCACCTCCTCTTTGCTAGTCCTTGCCCCACCTTCCTATCCCAAGTCTTTCAGACCAGAGACAGCTCAAAAAGCATGGCACATGGTGCCTGCAAGTGGCCAGGTGGACATACATCACCAGGCACCAGCTGCTCTCTTCCTACGTAAGCAAATAGGGTTTATGGGAGCAGGATGAACATCGAAGTTGCTCCCCCACATAGTTCTGGAATCAGCACCCTTGACGTGATTGTTCTGCCGGAGTCTAGTCTACCACCGTCTCAGTCCTGGGTTATCACAGAGTCCTCTTAATTGAATGCTTATTCTCCAGCCTTACCTCTTCCTCAGCCCATTCTTCACCCAGAGCCACATATTTCTATAACATAAATTTGATCTCCACTCCCCTCTTAAAACTTTTGTGACTTCACATTGCCTTTAAAACTAATAATAATCCTTTTAGGGAGCTCATAAAGCCATGCGTGATCTGGCCTTAATTGCCTCTGCAGCCTCCTACGCCTCTCATGCTCTCCATCCAGATTTCAGAACCTGCCATTGTTTCTCCAGGAAACATGGCGTCTTCCTGCCTCTGAGCCTCCATGCGTGCTGTTCCCCCTCAGCCATGGTACTTCCCTGTTTACTCAGGCGTCCTCTCCTTCACTGTAGCTGTGTAGTTACAATTCTAGGCACAGAGTAAACGTTCAATAACTATCCCTTGCCTGAGTAAATGTAAGTTAGCCATTCTATTTTAATTTTTTAGCAATTTGTAACATTCTGTTTGTTTCCCACTTTCATGATCTGTTTTTGCCAATATTCCTAACTTGACTTCATCTGTCTTTTCAAATGTTTGCTTTTTTTTTTTTTTTTTTTTTAATTTTTTTCTAACCTTCTCTTGTTCTACTCTTTGGGTCCTCCCTTTTAACAGTAGTTTTCACTTCCTTTCAGTCTAGTCTTTGTGATTACCGGTGCACAATCCTGGGTTACTTCTGCCACATTTCCCAGGACTAAAGAAGGATATGCCTATAAATACCACAGCCCACTGTGCCCTTATTATGGTAGCCCAAACCACATTGAAAGAATATTGTTGTCCAGGCACAGTAGGGCACACCTGTAACCTCAGCACTCTGGGAGGCTGAGGCAGGCAGATCGCTTGAGCCTGAGGAGTTTGAAACCAGCCTGTGCAACATGGCAAAACCCTATCTCTGCAAAAATTAGCCCAGTGTGGTGGCACACACTTGTAGTCCCAGCTACTCAGGAGGCTGAGGTGGGAGGATCAGTTGAGCCCAGGAGGTTGAGGCTGCAGTGAGCCATGATCACGCCCCTGTACTCCAGCCTGTGCAACAGAGTGAAACTGTTTCCACACACACACACACACACACGAAGTGTTGCGTTGGTTGCCCAGTGTCTTGAGGTATAGAATTTTTCTCTTGATCATGTGAGCAGGAAGGAGTAGAGAAGAAAGCAGTTTGGGACAGACTGTGGTTTTGAAGAAAATAGGAAATTGTGTGAAGTAAAAAGCAGACCTCTAAGGAAAAAATGTCCCTGGTAAAAACTGCATATTTTGAGTGTCAACCTAGATGTCCTTACAGAGCCCTCCTTCCACCTCCCGTCACAGTCATACCAGAGTTGCTGTGGATGTTTCCCATTGACAGCAGCTGTTCTTTGTGCTTTCTCTACCTCCAGAGGTGACGCTAAAGGTGCACGTCAGCGACGCCAGCACCCACCAGCCAGTAGCAGACGCGCTCATCGAGATCTTCACCAACCAGGCCTCCATCGCCTCTGGCACCTCGGGGACCGATGGCGTCGCCTTTATCAAGTTCCAATATAAGCTGGGCAGTCAGTTGATCGTCACCGCCTCGAAGCATGCCTACGTGCCAAACTCTGCCCCGTGGAAGCCAATCCGGTTACCTGGTAAGGCGTTCCTCATCTTTCTCTAACACAGAGGGCATTGGCCGGTGGGAGGATCACGTAAGGCCAGGAGTCTGAAATCAGCCTGGGCAACATAGTGAGACTGCATCTCTACAAAAAATGTTATAATTGGTCAGGCATCGTGGTGTGCACCTTTAGTCCCAGCTACTCAAGAGGCTGAGGTGGGAGGATTGCTTGAGTCTGGGAGTTCGAGACTGCAGTGAGCCGTGATCACACCACTGCACTCAGCCTGGGCAACAGAACAAGACCCTGCTTCAAGAATAAAGTGAAATAAAATAGAAACATACGGATCCCAGAACTCCACCATTCAATATGGGGAGGGGAATTTGCATTTTAACAAGCAAACCCCTCTCCCCCTCCACCAGATACTGTGAATAAAAATATTTAGAAAGTTTGAGGCCACTGCTCTGTGAGCTATGGAAAGTGGATTTGTTATAGATACAATGGAGATCATCTAGGAGAGTTCTTAAGAAAAGGGGACAAACCTGAGAGATATTAAACAGGTCATGGAGAATGGACAGGAGAGAGGGAAGGAAAAGGATGAAATAGAAGGAATGTGAGTTGGACCTCAGGTTTTGGCTGGTGGTAGAGCAGGTGGTCCCGGCAGGGGCAAGCTGTGGAGTTGGGGAACTGGCTACACCACATTTTCCCAAAGTTGACTACACTGACGTCGTGGATTAAAGAAGTATCCTCCCTTTCTCCCTCCCTCTGTGACTCCCTCTTCCCAAGCTTCAGGCTTAGGCAAAGATGCATGGAGCCTGGGGAAATGGGAGGAGAGGAATGGGTGTCGGGGTCATTGATTATAAGCTAAGTTTAGGGTGTATTTAGTTGAAATTGCCACCGAGACACCAAGTGAGCATTTTCGGCCTTTAGTTTGAAATGAACTTGGGGTTCAAGAGAGAGATCTGGGCTAGAGGTTTAGTTTGACTCATCATCAGTGTTAACTATGAGCTCCAGCAGAGAGTGGAGGACACCGGACCTGTGACAGGACCCCGGGAGGGCCTGCACAACAGGACAGGTGGCCTTTACTAGGTTACATCCAAGGGAACGTTGGAGTCGAGGCTGCAGTGAGCTGAGATGGTGCCACTGCACTCCAGCCTGGGTGACAGAACAAGACCCTGTCTCAAAAAATAATAAAATAAATTAAAATAAAGGAAGCATTTGACACTCCCATCATCCATGCTGAGAAGTCACTGGAAATCACTGAGGGACATTTAGGCTGTCTCTGCCTGTTTCAGGAGAACAGCTGCACAAAGGCCATCAGTCAATTCTCATTGTTCACAGTAGTTATGGTCCATAGCTACCTCAAACGTGGAGTGAGCAAATACTGCTGAACCACTGCTACAAGGGAAATGCAGAGCTGGGTTCCTGTGAGCCTCTGGTCACAGCATTTTCATGAGCTGATCAATAGTACATGCCTTTGTTTTATGTTGTCTTTGTTTAAAGAAATCTTATTTGATACATAGATTGTTGATTCATTAGCATTGAACTCACAGCCCGTAGCACCATAACTCATGCCCCAACAAAGCTGATCGAACACACGTGTTTTCTCCATAAGGCACAATCACAACCTCCTCCTGCTTAGGAATATTAGAGAGCTCTACGCTGGTGGTCATTTGAAACGGTGGAATCACGCCTATAATCCCAGTGACTCTGGAGGCTGAGGCGAGAGGAGCTGGAACCCAGGATGTGGAGGCTGCAATGAGCTGGGATGGAGCCACTGCACTCCAGCCAGGGTGACACAGCAAGACTGTCTCTAAAAATAAATAAGTAAATCGCAAAATCACCAACAGAATGCTTAAAAACGTGAAAAGCTGGACCCTGAATACGTCTGGGGGTTACAAATAAGCTTTAGCAAATAGGGAGGTTTACAAATACAGAATTGGTGAATAATGAGCAGCTACTGCATTTTGATCACATTCATTTTGACTCTGTTAACATGGTCATTTGAGAAAAACCATTCCCATCGTATCTGTTTTTTTATTTTTTTATTTTTTGAGACAGAGTCTCATTCTGTCACCCAGGCTAGAGTGCAGTGGTGTGATCTTGGCTCACTGCGATCTCCACCTCCTAGGTTCAAGAATTCTCCTGCCTCAGCCTCCCGAGTAGCTGAGATTATAGGAACGCACTACCACGCCCTGCTAATTTTGTATTTTTAGTGGAGATGGGGTTTTGCCATGTTGGCCAGGCTGGTCTTGAACTCCTGACCTCAGGTGATCCACCTACCTCGGCCTCCCAAAGTGCTGGGATTACAGGCGTGAGCCACTGTGCCCGGCTGATATCTGTACTATTACAAATGAGTCAAGTCACAGGAATAATGAAGTTTCATTGAGTTTCGGACAAGACGTGAAGACACCTGGATCCCAGGCCTGCCCACCCCTGGCTGGCCCCACACATATCGGCCCATTAACACTTTCTGAGTTTGTGTTTGTTTCTGAAATCAAGTTAATTGCTCTAAATAATTTCTAAGAATCTTCCCGTGTCTTTGATTATTTTTCTGTGCTTGCCTTTTCAATATAATAAAGATACTCTGCATTAGTCCACTATAAAGAAATACCTGAGACTGGGTAATTTATAAAGAAAAGAGGTGTAACTGGCCCACGGTTCTGGAGGACATACAGGAGGAATGGCATCTTCTGCTTCTGGGGAGGCTTCAGGAAGCTTCCAATCATTGCAGAAGGCAAAGGGGGAGTGAGACATTTCACATGGCCAGAGCAGGAGGAAGAGAGAGAGGATAAAGGTGCTACACACCTTTAAACAACTAGATCTCGTGAGAACTCACTCACGATCACAAGAATAGCACCAGAAGATGGTGCTAAACCATTCATGAGAAACTGCCCCCATGATCCAATCACGTCCCATCAGGACCCACCTCCAACACTGGGAGTTACAATTCGACATGAGATTTGGGCAGGGACACAGATCCAAACCATGTTATACTCTTAACTAGAACTTAACAGGAAGCATCTCTAAAATTTAGACAATAAAATTTAGCCTATTGTGAAAAGCAGAGTCAATTTGCTTTTGTGCGTCTTTTTGGAGGTGAAGACTAACACTTCTGGTATTTCAGATAGCTGGACAAGGAAGCAAGAAGAGCTGGGAGCCTCTTCTAAAATATGTTGAAAATTTGAAACTAAAAAATGCCTTCTTTCCCACACGTGTGCAGCACACCGCTTGTATGTACATGAGCATTCTTATGAAACCCGGAAATGCATTTCCTTTTTCATCCTTAACAATAGTTCCTGGAGGATGTTTTGAGGTTTTTTTCGCTTTCAAGGAAGGGAGGAGAGGGAGGAACCCAGCGTAAGGAAAACACCCTCCGTCTGTGGCAGGCAGGCAAGAATAAACTTAGCCATAGGAGATGCAATCCATCCACTAAAGGCTGTCATTCTCCATCTTAATTATTGCTGTCTCTGCAGCCATCGCCCTGGCCCAGGTCCTTAGCGATGGTCCAGGACTATGGCAATGGCCTCCAGCCAGGTTGTTCTACCCCTCAGACCACCCACAGTATGACTGAGCATTCATGTATTAAAATATATATGTCCAGTTTGTGTATTAAAATATGTACCTGCCTAAAATCCTTCGATGGCCTCAGGGTGAAGTAAACGTGACACAGAGCCTCCTCCCCTGGCCACCTCCCCCTTCTGTATGTCATGGTCGGCCACCCTGGGCAATGTGTCATTCTGGGAAGGAGTCTGGCATTTCTACCCTGTCTGTGTTTGTCTGCATTGTTCTCTTGGCAAACTTGTCCTCTTTTTTTTTTTTTTTTTTGAGATGGAGTCTCACTCTGTCACCCAGGCTGGAGTGCAGTGGCGCGATCTCAGCTCACTACAACATCTGCTTCCTGGGTTCAAGTGATTCTCCTGCCTCACCATCCCAAGTAGCTGGGATTACAGGTGCGCGCCACTACACCCGGCTAAGTTTTGTTTTTGTTTTGAGACGGAATCTCACTCTGTCACCAGGCTGAAGTACAGTGGCGCGATCTTGGCTCACTGCAACTTCCACCTCCCGAGTTCAAGCGATTCTCCTGCCTCAGCCTGCCAAGTAGCTAGGACTACAGGCGCCCACCACCACGCTCAGCTAATTTTTGTATTTTTAGCAGAGACCGAGTTTCGTCATGTTGGCCAGGATGGTCTCCATCTCTTGACCTTGTGATCCGCCCGCCTTGGCCTCCTAAAGGCTGAGATTACAGGCATGAGCCACCGCACCAAGCCGGCAAACTTTTCTTTTATCTCATAAAGCCCAGCCAGACTGTTTTCTGCCTCAGGAAATCTTCCTGCCCGCCCCGGGTAGAATGAGATGTTCCTTCCCCTCTAGGTATCAGAAAAAAAAAAAATCTACTTGGTGTGAAGAGCACCTCCAGACATCAATCAGCTTCCTCTCTATGATGCGAAAAAAGCAGCATTACCCAGGGATCTCCATCTCTCTGCTGCCTCTACCCACCTGGGCACTACGTTGATTGCATCCCTAGTCCCTGTCCTCTGCCCCGGGAAGTCCCTGCCGGTACCAGGCTTGTTACAAGAAATCATGTGTTTTAGAATTCAAAGAAACAGTCTAAAAAAGTAAAATGAGAAATCATTTTTTTCTCCTTTAGGAAATAAGGTCTGAGAAACAATTTGCCAGAGCAGCTGCCTTATATATGAAAGTACCAAATATTTTAGGTGAGAAATATTTTCAAAACACACTGCAATGGTCACGCACCTCTCAGGGGATGATCACAGGTGATTTTGGAGCTCCAAGCCCCCCACACCGGTCAGCTCAGAGGTGGTCAGGGCCTTGTAAATGTCTGCGGTCGCCACGGGAGCTCTGGAATGGAGCAGGAAGGCCCAGGCATCCTCACTTAGGAGGGTGTGGATTGTAACCCTAGCCTGGGTTTTGAGGTGTGCTGCTTCCTACCAGCAGCATTTGCTAGGACAATCCTGGCCTTTCCTCCTCGCCAGGAGGTGCCCTGTGCCCTTAGATGAAAGGATCGCTGGTAATAGTTTACCTACGACATGCTCATGCAGCAATGACTAATTGCAGAATATTTCCTCACCCCTAAAACCCCGTACCCATTAGCACCGACTCACTGTTTCTCACACATCCGAGCCCCTGGCAACCACTAATCTCCGCTCTGTCTCTCTAGATTTGCTTATTCTGCCCATCCCATATAACTGGAACGTTGGAATATGTGGCCTTTTGTGTCTGGCGTCTTTCACTCAGCCTGATGTTTTCAAGATTCATCCACATTGTAGCACGTGGCAGTACCACCTTCCCTTTCACGGGTGAATAATATTCCCTCATATAGACAACACCACACTTTATCCATTCATCAGCCAATAGACATTTATGTGTGTTGTCTTCACTTTTCGGCTGTTATGGATAATGCTGCTGCAAACATTGATGTGTGAGTTGCTGTATGAACGTAGGTTTTCAGTTCTCTTGGATTTATACCTAGGAGTGGAATTGCTGGGTCATGGGGTCACTCTGTGTTTAATATTCGAGGAACTCCCAGGCTGTTTCTGCATCACCAAGGTGCTACTCTTGTCTTTTTCCTGGTACCTGTCCCATTCTGCTTGTCATATAGCTATTTGTTTCAAGTCTAGTCCCCTTGCAATGCATAACTCTTGAAGGCACAGGCTGCCTCTAACACTGCTCTGTTCCACCCAGGATGTAGATCTGAGCCTTGTATATGATGATAGCTAAATAAATTGACTGTGTGGAGGTTGAGTGAAAAGAGGTCACATCCACAGCCAACTCACTGGTGCCCTATGGCACTATTAAGAGCCAGCACTGCTTGACCGGGCACGGTGGCCCATGCCTGTAATCCCAGCACTTTGGGAGGCCGAGGCGGGCAGATCACTTGAGGCCAGGAGTTCAAGACCAGCCTGGCCAACATGGCGAAACTCCATCACTACTAAAAATACACAATTAGCCAGGCATGGTGATGCACGCCTGTAATTGCAGCTACTCAGGAGGCTGAGGCAGGAGAATCGCTTGAACATGGGAGGCAGAGGCTGCAGTGAGCCAAGATTGCACCACTGCACTCCAGCCTGGGTAACAAGAACGAAACTCCATCTCAAAAAAAAAAAAAAAAAAAAAAAAGAGCCAGCACTGTGAAGTGACTGATCATCTTAGCACTTACCTTCTAGATCCTGATGTTTTCCCAGAACGTCGTTTACCTCTCTAGGCCAACTTTTCCATGTCTCAGAATGGTTGAGAACTCCAGAGTTTAAATCCTAGCCCTGGCATTTATTAGCTGTGGGATATTGGGCGAGTTACTTCCTCATCTATAAACCTGTTTCCTTACCTGTGAAATGGGCATGTTAATAATACCTACTTCAGGTGCCGGGCACGTTGGCTGATGCCTGTAATCCTAGCACTTGGGGAGGCCAAGGCAGACGGATCACTTGAGGTCAGGAGTTTGAAACCAGCCTGGCCAACATAGTGAAACCCTGTCTCTACTAAAAATATTTTTTTAAAAAATTAGCTGGGCATGGTGGCAGGTGTCTCTAATCCCAGCTACTCAGGAGACTGAGGCCAGAGAATCACTTGAACCTGGGAGGCGGAGAGTGCAGTGAGCCGAGATCGCGCCTTTGCACTCCAGCCTGGGCAACAAGAGTGAAACTCTGTCTCAAAAATAATAATAATGCCTACTTCATAGAGCTGTTTTGAGGCTTAAATAAATTACTGAAATTAAAGCACTTAGGATAATGTTTGGCTTGTTAGTAAACGTTCAGTAATGTGAGTGATGATTATTATTCTATAATGCATTTATTTGTTTTTCTCTTAAATTCATATGTTTTACCCAGAAATGTGTGGGGTTTCTAAAATTTTTTAGAAATCCAGGTACTTAAGCAAGAGTTTTAAAATAGCATAACTTGGCTAGGTGCAGTGGCTCATGCCTGTAATCCCAGGACTTTGGAGGGTAAAGATGGGAAGGATTGCTTGAGCCCAGGAGTTTGAGACTAACCTGGGCAACATAGGGAGACCCCGTCGCTACAAAAAAATTTAAAAATTAGCTGGGTGCCGTGGTGCACGCCCATGGTCCCAGCTATTTGAGAGACTAAGGCAACAGGGATACTTGAGCCTGGGAGGTTGAGGCTGCAGTGAGCTCTAACCGTGCCCCTGCACTCCAGCCTGAGTGACAGAGTGAGGCCCTGTCTCAAAAAAATAAAAATGAAAAGCACAATTTCTATCATGTTATTACTTCCCAGGGTTGGAGGAATATTCTTTTACCATGAGGTACACATTAACCTAGACACATATTTTTAAAGCCATTTTTAATGTTAACATCTAACATTATATATTCTAAATTCATGTAGTGTATACGTGATAACTTTCATATACTCCTAATGTGAAGAGGCTCAGTTACTTTGCTGAAAACTTCTGGCTGGGCGCAGTGGCTCACGCCTGTAATGCCAACACTTTGGGAGGCTGAGGCAGGTGGATCACGAGGTCAGGAGTTCGAGACCAGCCTCGCCAACACAGTGAAACCCTGTCTCTACTAAAAATACAAAAATTAGCTGAACATGGTGGCAGGTGCCTGTAATGTCAGCTACTCAGGAGGCCGAGGCAGGAGAATCACTTGAACCCGGGAGGCGGAGGTTAGAGTGACCTGAGATCGCGCCACTGCATTCCAGCCTGGGCGACAGAGCGAGACTCTGTCTCGGAAAAAAGGAAAAAAAAAAGAAAACTTCTAACAAATGAAAAAAGTTGACCATTATAGGGCAAGTAATTGTTATATGAGACATTGCAATACACTTGTAGCATTTTGAAGATCTGTTGCTAATCTAACTAAAAATTAATCTTATTAATTGATTTGAAATCAGAAAATACAAAAACTGCAAAGTATCCCAAAAATTAGAGTGGGCACTTAAAAGTAAATATAAAATCCCCTTCTATCCATTTATTTCTCCTGCAGTATTTTCTTCTCTGAGCCTTGGCCTGCTTCCAGAACGCTCTGCCACTCTAATGGTATATGAAGATGTCGTCCAAATAGTATCAGGATTCCAAGGTATGTTTAATATTTTTTCAGTTTTTATTGTTATTTTTGATGGATGCATTATTGTATATGTTTATGGTGTACAGTGTGATGTGATGTCTGTATACAAGGTGGATTGATTAAATCAAGCACATTAACCCATCTATCACCCCACTTACCTAACATTTTTTATAGTGAGACATTTGAAATTTACTCTTTTCATTATTTTTGGTATGTTTAATAATTAAAAAGAGAAACAACAGTCAGTTTTGGGCCACCTACTAAAATATTACGGCTCATGCCTGTCATCCCAGCACTTTGGGAAGCCAAGGTGGGTGGATCATTTGAGGTCAGGCATTGGAGACCAACCTGGCCAACATGATGAAACACCATCTCTACTGAAAATACAAAAAAAAAGCAACAACAACAAACTTAGCCTGGCATGCTGGCACATGCCTGTATTCCCAGCTACTTTGGAGGCTGAGGCAGGAGAATCACTTAAACCTTGGAGGGGGAGGTTGCAGTAATCCAAGATCACGCCACTGCACTCCAGCCTGGGTGACAGAGTGAGACTTCATCTCAAAAAAAAAAAAAAATTATCATATGGAATTCACTTATTAATTAATTATTTATTTTTTAATCATACTTTAAGTTCTAGGGTACATGTGTGCAACATGCAGGTTTGTTACGTCTGTATACATGTGCCATGTTGGTGTGCTGCACCCATTAACTCGTCATTTACATTAGGTATATCTCCTAATGTAATCCCTCCCCGCTCCCCCCACCCCACAACAGGCCCCGGTGTGTGATGTTCCCCTTCCTGCTCCCCAAGTAGCTGACTACAGGCGCCGGATTCACGAGGTTCAGGAGATCGAGAGAGCGCGATTCCTGGCCCCACACAATGAAACCCCGGTTCTACAAAAATACAAAAAAATTAGCCGGGCGACGTGGACGGCGGCCTGTAGTCCCAGCTACTTGAGGGCTGAGGCAGGGAGAATGCGAGGAACCGGGAGCGGAGTTGCAGGCAGCTGAGATGCGCCACGCACTCCAGCACTGGGCGACAGAGCGGAGACTCCGCTTCAAAAAAACAAAAAAAAAAAAAAAAAAAAGTCAGGAAAACAATAGGATGCTGGAAGGCTGTGGAGAAATAGAAACACTTTTACACTGTTGGTGGGACTGTTAAACAGTTCAACCACTGTGGAAGACAGTTGGGCGATTCTCAAGATCTAGAACTCAGAAATACCATTTGACCCAGCGGATCGCATACCTGGGTATCATACCCAAAGGATATAAATCATTGCTGCTATTAAGACACATTCGCACACGTATGTTTATTGCGCACTATCACAATACCAAAGACTGGGAACCCAACCCAAATGTCCCACAATGATAGACTGGATTAAGGAAAATGTTCACATTAATGCCATGGAATCCTATGCAGCCATCAAAAAGGATTGAGTTTGGTGGTCCTTCTAAGGGACAGGATGCCATGGAAACCATCTTCTCAGGCAAACTATCGCAAGACCAGAAGACAAAACACGCATGTTCTCATCTCATAGTGGGAATTGAACAAGAGACATACTTGGACA